CCTGCGAGACCTTGTTCTTTTGAAGAGGCCATGAAAGGTACCAGATTGATTCTTCTCAAAATTGTAAATAGGTGATCATATATAATTTCTGAAAGGAGTCCTGGTGGTACAATGGTTAAGCTCTTAGCTTCTAACAACAGGGTTGCTGGTTTGAATCCACCAGCTGCTCCATGGGAAGAAGGTATGACAGTCTGCATCCATATAGGTTTATAGTCTTAGAAACCCTGTGGGGCAGGGTCTCCTCTGTCCTATAGAGTCACTAGGAGTAAGAGTCAACTTGCCGGCACTGGGTTTGTTTCATTTTTTTATGTTTTCTCTAACCTTTATTTATTTTTTTTTACTGTTATGTAATTACAACACTTATAAGGGTAGCTTTTATGTTGTAAAATAAATATTAGCTTTGCTAAATGCACAAACTTGTTTTTCCAGCTTGATATGTTGGAACAGAGTTTTATTTATTATCGAAAGTCCCAAGAGACATTGAAGATAACATATTTATATCTCAGGATACTATACTGGGATATGTTGTAGATTTTTTTCTTACCAGATTTGTAATACTACTATGATATACAGTGATGCTTTTGCGCTTTCATATATGAAGATGCTGCTTACATGATGGTCATTGATTTATTCTTAATAATCTGTCATTTTCATATGTTTTTCTGCCCTGACCTTGAAACCCATATGAATTAGGTCAAATTAAATAATTTTTGTGAAAATACTCAGTTTTGTTTTCTACAGACACAATATTTAGTAAACCTTACCAAATACAGTGAATTCCTTTTCCATTATCAGGAGTAAAATTTAGCATTTACATATGTAATTGTTCAGTATAGCTTGGGGTTATAATTTGACCATGGACATTTTCCAAAATAGATTAGGAAAGAATTTTTTTAGCTGCTTTGTTGTTGTCTGCCCCCAACTCATGGTAACTCTATGCACAGTAGGTATACAATGTGGCCAGTAATGTGCTATCACGTGATTCATTGAGGATCAGACCATGTGATCTATACAGTTTTCATTGGCTGGTGTTGAAAATTAAATTACCAGGCTTTTCTTCCTAGTTTGATTTAGTCTAAAAACTCTGATGAAAAGTTGTTCAGCCCCATATCAGCACACAAGCCACCACTAACAGGTTGTGGATGCACATGAGGTACATTGGCTGGGAATCAGACCCAGGGCCTTCTAATAAAAACTGAGTATTTTACCACTGCATCACCACTTTTCCCAGGGAGGAATTATTAATACAAGTAAACTACCAAGATTTTCAGATTGAACTGCAGGAAAATTTACAAATGTTAGTCACAACTAACATTCATTGAACATGTCCTAAGTGCTAGACAATTTGCCAAGCTTTTTATAGGTATTATCTCATTTAATCTTCCCAATTCTATAATTCTCATTTCGTAGATGAGGAAGCTGAGGCTCCAGAGAGGTTAAATAATTTGCCGAAGGTCACTTAGCTAGGATTAAAAAAGGATCGGTTGAGCTTCAGTAATGTAAGGTAATACATCTAAGCAAAAATAATTTAAATCATGTATAAGGTGAATAATTTTATAATTCGTTGTTAAAGAAAGGGATGTTTATGGTCTAGCCTTTGCCAGCATCAAAAGATGTTCAGCATCATTAACATTTAGGAAAATGCAGGCTAAGTCAACATCACAGTGACTAAAATGAATAATGGTGACACCAAACTTAAGTGAAGATGTATAGAAAAACTAGCTTACATTGCTTGCTTATAGGTATTGTAAAATGGTACAGCCGTTTTGGTAAACAATTTGTCAGTTCCTTGTAAAACTATATGCATGTTGTTAAGTGCCGTCAAGGGGATTCTGACGGACTCATAGCAACCCTGTATAAGGTTTCTGAGGTTGTATATCTTTGTGGGAGCATAAAGCCTCATTTTTATCCCACAGAGCAGCCGGTAGACTTGAGTCACCAACCTTGTGGTTCACAGTCCAGTGGTTATCCTGTATCCGTAACTAAGCATATGACCCAGCAATTGTACTGTTGGTCATTTATGTTCACTGTGTTTATAAAACACCCTGTACATGAATGTTCACAGTTTTATCTGAATAACAAAAACGTGTAAATAACCCAAATAATGTGAGTGGTTAAACCCTGGTACCACAGGAGCTCTGGTAGTGTAGTGGTTATGAGTTGGGCTGCTAACCTCAAGGTCATTCCGCAGGAGAGAGATGAGGCATTTTGCTCCCGTAAAGATATCCAGCCTCAAGGTTGTTATGAGTTGGAACTGACTCCATGGCACACAACCACCACCACCACATCAATGCCATGGAATACTATTGAGCAATAAAAAGTATTGTATTTTTGATACATACAATTTGAAGGAATCTTCAGAGAATTAATCCTGAATAATAATATCTATTTCCAAAAGGCTACATTCTATGTGATTTCATTTATATTATGCTTTGAAACAACATTGCAGAAATGTATAACAGATTAGTTGTTACCAGAAGTTTGGACGTGGATGTGAGGTGGAGTGGAGGGAGTAAGGGAGTTAAATAGCTGTGGTTATAAAAGGGTTATTTAAATGACACTTGTGGTGATGGAACTATTTGTATCTCGTCCGATGCTGGATCATATAAGTTTATACATATGATCAAATTGCATGGAACAAAACATGCACACACAAAGACAAATAAAATTAGAAAAATCAGAACAAGGCAAGTGGATTGTTTAAAGGTCAGCATTCTAATTTTCATGTACTGTAGTTTTGCTAGATGTTATTGAGGGGAAAACTGGGTAAAGAGTACACTAGATTCCTCTGTCTTGTTAATTTTTTGCAAAGATTTTTGATAAACAGTTTTTCATTTATCTCATTTTTGAAAGTTTAAAAAAGTTTTTAAAATGTTAATATTCAGTGATAAAACAGGAAATGCAGAGGAAAAATTGATGGCATAGATAGCAGTTTGACAGAATACATCAAAATCCTCAAAATGAACATGATGTTGTTAAACACTGTCAAGTCAGTTCCGACTCATACTGAGCCTGTGTAGGGTTTCCAGGTTTGTGGGTTTGAACTAACAACTTGGTGGTTAGCAGTTTAGTGCTTATCCTATAACACCACAACTAGTTGCATTTCTTGGTAGTTCTCTTAAGAAAATGAATTTTTATATAAATATTATGTTTTCAAAAGATTTTTATGTTAATACCATTTGTAATATCAAAAGTAATCAATTTAGAATCCAAGATACATTTTCATAATAGAAAACATTGCAGTGAGTTTTGGTTTTTTTTTCCTTAAATGATTTATTGTGAATTATGTGATAGTTTACATGGGAGAACATTAGTTTTACATTCATTCTATCATATATCGTCTCATTGCCATGGTTACAGTCCCCTCCATGCAATCCTTCCCCCCTACCCCCCAGGTCTTCAGCACACAGTTGCTCTCCCTCTCTGGATCTAAAGCCTCCAGCTGCTCCATCGCTCCACGTCATCATCGCTCCATGTCATTTCAGGCATCACTGCTTCTCTGAGTAGGGTCCCACTCTCTGCTCTTCTTCCTTGATGGTCCTAGGGACCTCCGCTCCTAGACTGAAAAGTTAATCACTCCCCTCCTTGCTATAAAATATCTACCTTTACATTTCCGACCCTCACAAACAGTCCTGATAACAATTATTCACTATTGTATCATAAGAGACCCATCTGCATTTCGTTGCATCAGCCCCGCCTAGTTAGATTGAATACTACTCACTGGAGATTCTACCTTCCTCCAGGCCCTTTGGATCTAGGTTCCCTCTTGAAAGCTTGTAAGCCAGTCACATCTTGCCTTTGTAGCCCCCCGCCCCCCATTTTGGGTAGCCAATGTCCAAGTTGCCCATCCCTGTAAGGACTTGTTCCCTCTTTTGAGCTACTGCTTCCATAGGTGTAGGTCAAGTTCATCAAATTGTATGAGAATACTTTTTTTCTCTCTCTCTCTTCTTTTTACTTCTGGTTGAGTTCTGATCATCTAGTCACTGAAGCCAGGATAAGTGGGTATTATCTGCAAGTGTGGGTGTTCTTATGCATATGCCCTCTCTTCTTATCAGCTGGACGCTTCACTCTCCACTCTAATCCTCTGTGGCTATGTCACTGACTCTGGGCCCAAGAGTCCCTGCAGTGAGTTTTTAATAAACTAGGGAAGGGCTTCTGTCATAATGTACTGGGAACAAAGCTGCCTCTAAAATTATGTGCATAAAAAATATGTGTATAAAGACTATTTTTAAAAGACGTGGAGAAAAGAGAAATACAATGAAATTTCAGCATTCTGGCTATCTTATATTTGTTGTTGTGTGCCATTGAGTCGTTTCTGACTTATAGTGACCCTGTATAGGGTTTCCAAAGAGTGGCTGGTGGATTTGAACCACAGACCTTGCCATTAGCAGTCCAGTGCTTAGTGTACATATTTTTCTTCTGTATATTCTCTAAATATTTTATAAAAAGCATGGCCCCCTCTTATTTAATAGCCTTATTGAGATGTAATTTACATACCATTCAGTACACCCATTTAAAGTTTACAACTCAGTGACTTTTAATGTATTCACAGAATTATACATTTATTACTGTTCAGTCTTAAAATATTTTCATTATACTATACAGAAACCTCATGCCCTTTAGCTTTCACCCCTGAATCTCCTTATCAACCCTAGCCCTTCTTGTTGTTGTTAAGTGCTGTGGAACCAGTTCCAACTTGTAGTGACCCTGTATAAGGTTTGTGAGGAGCAGCTGGTGGCATTTGAATTGCTGATCTTGTGGTTTGTAGTTCAGTGCTGATACTGCAGTGCCACACCCAGACTCCAGCCCTAGTTAATCACTAAACTCTTGTATGTTGCTGTTAAGTGCCAACTCATAGTGACCCTGTATAGGGTGTCCGAGGAGCAACTGGTGGGTTTGTACTGCCGAGTTTGTGATGCTGATCCTACAGTGCCACACATCTATTGGTTTGCCTATTACTGACATGTAAATGAAAGCTTACAATAGGTGATCCTTTGTTATTGTCATATTTCATGTAGCATAATGTTTGTAGCACTCATCCATGTTGTAACATGTGTCAGTGCTTAATTTCTGATTTTTTGATTACCAAATAAAATTTCACTGTATGTTGTTCTTGCATAGAGTTTCCTAGGCTGTATTCTTTATGAGAGCAGATTGCCAAGTCTTTTATCCTGAAGAGCAGCTGGTAGTTTTGAACCACTGACTGTTCAATAAGCATCCAAGCACTTAACCATTGTACTACCAGTCTAATACAAGTGGAGCTTCAAAAAGTTCATGGAAAAATGGAATGAAAAGATAATGCAGTTTTTTCCATGAACTTTTTGGAGCCAGTTTTTGTTCTCAGTATTATTTTATACATCTTCATGTGTGGTGCTTTTCAAAGGTAGCTATCCTACCAGTATGTACCACTAAAAAGTACTCTTTATAGCCAGAGTTTCTTCTTGGTATACAATTATATTTCCTTTCACAGGTTCTCAAAGTAGTGGTAAACTTTTAGATCAATATTTAATTTTATGTTCAATTCAGAAAACTGTCATTAGCAATAATATCATTTGGCACCACTAAGTGCCAGTGGTAGTCTCAAGTTGAGGTAAAAGGATAGGAATTGCTGTGGGTAGGACCAAGAGTCCGGGGGCCGGGGGGGGAGGGGATGCATTTGTAGTGAAGTGGTAGATTCCGCCATATCTACTATATGTTGTTTCTCTGGTGATAATCAGTAACCACTCTAGAGTGGAAAGGGGTGTGAAATAATTGTTCATATTGCTTTGGAAATATTATTGGTAAGCCTAAAATGGTCCTTACATATCTGAAAAGGAAGATTTTTAAGTCCTTTCTAAAAGAAATATGTTCATGTGTTGATTTTGAAAAGCAAAGTCTGTTTGAATACTTGGTGCATTTTCTAATGGAGGATTAAGTTCTGTTAAGGACAGAAATATTTCATGTTCTTTAAAAAGTTGAGACTTTATATTTTTTAGGTAGCCATACGGTAGGAGCATAGCTTTACGGAGTCCTGGTGTGGCGCTGTAGGATTAGCACTGGGCTGCAAACCACACAGCCATTCCTTGGAAGCCCTATATATAAAAGGTCGCTAGGAATCAGAACTAAGTCATCCACACTTTACAACAACAACAGCCTCCTATACCCTGGTCATATTGACCAGTGTAATTTAAGAGACCTTAAGGAGGGTCCTTATGCATCAGGCTGCTAACCTCAAGGTCGGCAGTTCAAAACTACCAGCTATTCTGCAGGAGAAAGATGAGGCTTTCTGCTCCCATAAATATTTACAGCCTTGGAAACCCTGTACAGGGTCCTAGAGTCTTGGTGTGGTGCTGTGGGTTGATACGCTGGTCTGAAAAACCGGTTTGAACACATGGTCAGCGGTTCAATCTCACCAGCTACTCTTCAGAAACTCTATTCAGGGTCACTGTGGATTGGAACCAACTAGATGGCACTTAACAACAAGGAGGGTTCTGGTTGTGGGTGTAGCTTTATTACTGAACAGCTTAAGCTTGTTACTGTTTGACCTACACTCTCAGGCCCAAAAATCTTCAAGGCAATGTTACTTTAAGAAAGGGAGTACCTATCTTAATATACCGGTTTTGTGTCTCATGCTACCATCATAGCAACGAAAGATAGACATTTAAATCAGGACTAGTAGTCAACACAGTACATTATGTAATCATTGGTTAGTTTTGTCATTTTAAACTTTTCTCTCATGTTTTTGTGTGCAGTAATGAAAACTACTGGATGTAACTTGGATAAGGTAAATATCCTTCCTAATGCCCTGATCCCTCCACTCATGTCAAGCAGTATGATTAAGAGTGAAGATGTTACTCCAATGGAAGTAACAGCAGAAAAAAGATCTTCCCCTATTTTTAAGGTGAGTTACATAGATAGACTTAGTTCCCCAAATCCTAACCTCAAATATCAAAATTGCTATTTCAAATGGTTTGATTTCTTTTCTCTATGTTTATTTGCTTTTTACTTAATTCTTCTATATTTGTTCTGCTTTGGGTGTACTTAGTGAGTTTTGCTTCTCAGAGTGAATATTTGACACTCCCAAAAAAGTAGCCCAGAAAGGGTTTTCCAATATACACTTTTGACATGGGAAAAATCAACAATTACACCTGTGGGACATGTGAAGTATTAATAAAAATGTGTACCATTTTTTAGCATTACAGAATTGGGAACATTTTCCTTCGTCCCTAGTATTTTCTTATTAACCCTTTTTTTATGTGCTCCCCATGACTCACAAAATTGAGATATTTTAAAATGTGCTATTAAATTTATATACCATGTTGTTATTGTTGTTAAGTGCCATCGAGTTGGTTCCCACTCATATATCAACCCTGTATGGGGTTTCCGAGGAGTGGCTGGTGAACTTGAACCACTGACTTTGCAGCTCAAACTGACTTTGTAGTTCTGCACATAAACCGACAAGCGCCATACCAGGACTCCTTTATATAGTATAGAAATAATATATTTTTATTACCCTCAAACTTACCTAGGCATACCAGTAGGGATTATTCTTCTACTTCCTTATTTTACTATCTTTGCATATACTAATTTTTTAAATAACCTGATGATAATAATAATAATAATCAGACATCTTATCATTGCCATTTAATTCCAAATGATAATATTGAGTAAAAATATGGCCCTGTATGTGAATTTAGAACAACAGTGATTGTTGATATATCTATATAAGCTTATTGAGGACTTTTTTTTTTTTTTCTTTTTAGACTACAAAAACAGTTGGATCAAATCAGCAAACTTTAGAAACTATCTCTAACATAACAGGAAATGGGTCTTTTTCATCATCATCATCTTCCCACTTATCATCTGAAAATGAAAAGCAGCAACAGATTCAGCCCAAGGCATACAACTCAGAGACCCTAACAACTATCCAAACACAGGACATTTCACAGCCTGGTACCTTTCCAGCAGTTTCTGCTTCTAGTCAACTGCCTAATAGTGATGCACTACTGCAGCAAGCTACACAGTTTCAGACAAGAGAAACTCAATCTAGAGAGGTATTACAGTCAGATGGTACTGTGGTTAATTTGTCACAGCTGACTGAGGCATCACAGCCACAACAGTCACCACTACAAGAACAAGCACAGGCTTTACAGCAGCAGATTTCATCAAATATTTTTCCATCACCAAATAGTGTGAGTCAGCTCCAGAATACTATTCAACAGTTGCAAGCAGGAAATTTTACGGGCAGTACTGCTAGTGGCAGCAGTGGAAATGTTGACTTGGTCCAGCAAGTTTTAGAGGCTCAACAACAGTTATCTTCTGTTTTATTTTCTGCTCCAGATGGTAATGAGAACGTTCAAGAACAGCTTAGTGCAGACATTTTTCAACAAGTCAGTCAAATTCAAAATAGTGTAAGCCCTGGAATGTTTCCCTCAGCAGAGCCAGCAGTCCATACCATACCAGATAATTTAATCCCTGGAAGAGGTGAAAATGTTCACCAACAGACTGACAATGCATTATCTAATCAGCAACAGCAACAGCAGCAACAGCAAGTGATGGAATCGTCAGCTGCAATGGTGATGGAGATGCAACAGAGTATTTGTCAGGCAGCTGCCCAAATTCAGTCAGAATTATTTCCTTCAACCGCTACAGCAAATGGAAACCTTCAACAATCTCCAGTTTACCAGCAGACTTCTCACATGATGAGTGCATTATCTACCAGTGAGGACATGCAGATGCAGTGTGAATTGTTTTCTTCTCCGCCTGCAGTTTCTGGAAATGAAACTTCTGCAACCACCACTCAGCAGGTTGCAACCACTGGCACTAACATGTTTCAGACATCAAGTTCAGGAGATGGAGAAGAAACTGGAGCACAAGCAAAACAGATGCAGAGTAGTGTCTTTCAGACCATGGTCCAAATGCAGCACAGTGGGGACAGTCAACCTCAAGTTAATCTCTTCTCATCTACAAAAACAATGATCAATGTTCAGAATAGTAGTACCCAGCAGCAAGGCAACGGTTTGTTCCAGCAAGGTAATGAGATGATGTCACTTCAGTCTGGGAATTTTTTGCAGCAGTCTTCTCATTCACAAGCTCAGCTTTTTCATCCTCAAAATCCTATTGCTGATGCTCAGAACCTTTCCCAGGAAACTCAAGGTTCTATTTTTCATAGTTCAGGCCCTATGGTCCACAGTCAGACTTCTACAACCTCCTCTGAACAAATGCAGCCTCCATTGTTTCACTCTCAAAGTACCATTGCTGTGCTACAGGGCTCCTCTCAAGACCAGCAACCAACCAACATATTTCTTTCCCAGAGTCCTATGAGTAATCTCCAGACTAACACAGTAGCTCAAGAGGAACAGATTTCATTTTTTGCAGCACAGAATTCAATTTCTCCACTTCAGTCAACATCAAATTCTGAGCAACAAACTGCTTTCCCACAGCAAGCTCCACTATCACACATTCAGACCCCTATGCTTTCCCAAGAACAGGCACAACCGTCTCAGCAGGGTCTATTTCAGCCTCAGGTATCTCTGGGCTCCCTTCCACCTAATCCAATGCCTCAGAACCAACAAGGAGCAATCTTCCAGCCTCAGCATTCAATGGTTGCCATTCAGAGTAACTCTCCATCTCAGGAGCAGCAGCAGCAGCAGCAGCAGCAGCAACAGCAGCAGCAGCAGCAGCAGCAGCAGAGCATTTTATTCAGTAATCAGAATACCATGGCTACTATGGCATCCCAAAAGCAACCAACACCTAACATGATATTCAGTCCTAATCAAAATCCAATGGCTAATCAAGAGCAACAGAACCAGTCAGTTTTTCACCAACAAAATAATATGGCACCAATGAATCAAGATCAACAGCCCATGCAATTTCAGAATCAGCCCACAGTTTCCTCACTTCAAAACCCAGGTTCTACCCAGTCTGAATCACCACAAACCTCCTTGTTCCATACGTCTTCTCAGATTCAGTTGGTCCAAGGGTCACCAAGTTCTCAAGAGCAGCAAGTAACCCTCTTCCTTTCTCCAGCATCTATGTCTGCATTGCAGAGCAGTATAAACCAACAAGACATGCAGCAGTCTCCTCTTTATTCTCCTCAGAACAACATGCCTGGAATCCAAGGAGCCACATCTTCACCTCAACCACAGACTGCTTTATTTCACAACACTGCAGGAGGCACAATGAATCAACTACAAAATTCTCCTGGCTCATCTCAACAGACGTCAGGAATGTTCTTATTTGGCATTCAAAATAGTAAGAAACTCTTAATTTCTCATTATTTAACTGTTACGTGGTTAAAATGATCAGCTGATAGTTACTAAGAGGAAGCAAAACAGTGGTTTTCAGAGTACAGAGTAGAGTTAAAAACTAGGTTCAAGTTTCAGCTCTACTGCTGAGAGACAATGAGAGATCTTAGAAAAGTTTTTGACTTTGAGGAGCTTCAATTTCTGTAACTTACTTAACAAAAAATATTGGGAGATTAAATGTGGTACCCTGGTGGTACAGTGGGTAAGCACTGAGCTGCTAACTGAAAGCGTGGCAATTTGAACACACCACTGAGCATGCAAGGAGAAGAGACTTGGTGACCTGCTCTTATTGCTGTTGAGTAGATTACAACTCATACCAATTCTAGAGGCAGAGTAGAATTGTCCATAGGGTTTCCAAGGTAGTAGTCTTTATGGAAAAGAACTCTGGTGGTACAGTGGTTAAGCACTTCAGCGGCTTACCAAAAGGAATCCAAGGTGTTCAAATCCACCAGCTGATCTGCTGAAGAAAGTTGTAGTGGGCTGTCAGGTGCCTTGGTTTTAGATGCATACTGGGTAAACCCAGTAATTAATTTCCCTAAGCAACTAATAAATATTTTTTCATGAATTTTAACAGAAAGTAATCAGGTAGCTTCTCTATTTTAAATGTCTCTGTAGACTGTAGTCAGCTTTTAACGTCTGGACCAGCCGCATTGCCAGATCAGTTGATGTCTATAAGTCAGCCTGGCCAACCACAAAATGAGGCCCAGCCACCTGTGACAACACTTCTGTCTCAGCAAATGGCAGAGAATTCTCCACTGGCATCATCTATAAATACCAGTCAGAACATTGAAAAGATTGATTTGCTTGTTTCGTTACAAAACCAAGGAAACAATTTAACTGGCTCCTTTTAACTGGATATGTAAGTACTGTATTTTACCTTCTTTTGTATTGAAAGGCAGCAACAAGTTTTATTCTTAGCATATTTGGGTTATTGTTGTTGAGTGCCATTGAGTGGGTTCTGACTCACAGAGACCCTGTATACGGTTTCCAAAGAGTGGCTGCTGGGTTTGAACCACTGATCTTGTGGTTAGCAGTCTAGTACTTATCCTACAGTGCCACACCAGAAACTCCATAAGAACTCCCTGGTGGTGCAGTGTTTAAGTACTCGGCTATTAACCGAAAGCTTGATAGTTTGAGCCCACCCAGCATCTCTCAGGAAAAGATAAGGCAATCCACTTCTGTAAAGACTTGTTATTTAGTGCCATTGGTTCTGACTTGTGATGACTCGGTGTAGGGTTTCCAAGGCTATAAGCCTTACCTTTCTTCTTCAAAGCGGCTGGTGGACTCGAACCACTGACCTTGTGGTTCACAGTCCAATGCTGATTCAATAGAACCACCGCTCTGTAGATATTTAGGTTGACCTAGCACTACTTGGGGCCACGATGTCACCGTGGTTAAGCATATTTCTGATAATTGGAAGGTCAGCAATTTAAACCCACCATGGGAGAAAGATACAGCAGTCTGCTTCCATTAATATTACAACCTTGGAAATCCTACAGGGTCACTATCAGTCTGAGTCTACTCAGTGACAGTAGGTTAGTAACTTACACTCTTTCATGTCTTTCATGTCTTAAAATAGTTTCTAAAGATACTACTTTTTAATTTTTTTTTTTTTTTTTTACTAATTACTCTGAATGATTGCTTAGGGTTGTTTGTTATTATTAGACATTCCACTAGCTCTGAGGCTCTGCTTAGAATGACAGAACATCTGATGAATATGTAAAATATATTACCTTTTTATGGTGTGTTGGGTATGATTATGTCTCATTTTTCCTTTCATCAAAAAACAAACATTTAGTCAGAAAAATCTGTGGGTAAGTAAACATGATAAGGTATCATTTCTAGAACTGTAATATACTTTAGGATCATTCAGGGTAACAGGAACTTAATAAATGTTTTCCCACCCTAATGAATTGTTTTCACATTTTTTCTTTCTTTTTCAGAAATTCCATGAAGAAGAACCTGATTCCAAGATGCCCTGAGATCTTGTGGTTCCATGAGGATTATTGAACTTTAAAAACAAAACAAAATATGAAAAACTGTTTGAATAAATGACTAGATTTTACTCTGACTGCAGAAGAGCACCCTTCTGCTGCCTGTTGCAGATTGGCTACCCATGTTAATATCTAACATGCAGATTTTGTATTCCTGGTAACAGTGGTGACTGAGAATCAATTTGAGTTTCCAGCTGAGAGAATTCATTGTTGCTCTTTTCCTAGGCACTGTTTCTATAACAATAGTACAGTTTAAATGTAATGCTGGACTGTTCAGTCATTATTGCTATTAGAAAATAATTCATATCATCATGTTTACTTTTGGTTTTCAGTTATTTACTTTCCTGTGTTGTTTTGGTTAACTAATGGTTTTCAAAAAAGTAAAGTTCAAATACTAAGTCTGTGATTTTTCAATTTCAAAAGCACAGCTGTTGGCCAAAGTGAAGGAATTGTTTTTAAATTTTTATGGAAAAACTGAAGGGGTAACATTCTGACAAATGCTGTGTATTATGGATATTTTGATACCCAAGAGAGAACGCTTTATTTAACACAAAGGCAATCAGTACATTACCAGACTGGAAACAGCTGGAGTACTATTGATTTTCTTTTTCAGAGTTGTTAATTCTTTGTGTTTCTACTAGGGGATGTAGCCATAACTGTGCATAGAAAAGGAATTATCAGGCTCTATAAAAAATGAAGGGATAGCATGGTAAATCATGTTCTAATATGTTCTTCAGAATTTAAATTGACAGAATAATTTGAGTCTTAGAATGGTGTTCCCTTTTTATATTCATCCATATTCTTTTCCTCTCTTTCTCATTTCATTTTAGATAATTATTAATACACTACTGGCTTTATGACCCTGTAGCAACTTAAAGGAAAAAGGCCACTTTTTCCTAAGGGTAATCTAATAACTCGTGCAGCACAGGGCAGGAGAGTGAGTACCCTTCAGGAATTGACTGGGAGTTGGTTCCTGAGAAATAATGCATTTTTGTTTTTTCTGTGAACGGTGCTGTTCTGAAATTTTCTCATTTTCCCTCTTACAGAAGCAGTTACATTTTAATTCAAAACAAAACTAAAATTTCTTGAAACATTACTTCTTCCTGAGCTGCAGTGAGTGTAGTTCACTTGTCACCTCAGTGCTTTATGGTTTGAAGTGGTCCCACAAGCCTTAGGCTTTACAGGGTCATACCATTTGACTTACAATAAAGAATTGACTTTTATTACATCTATAAAGAGCAAAGTAACACACTCCAGAACTTACAGTTGTAGCATTAGATTAGTTTTGGGTGTTCTTGCCACTCATGAGATGCCTGCTTCTTACTACAACCTGTTGTCTGGACACGTGTTTTTTGTTTTTTTCTCCTTTTGGCATGTAGAAAGCTGTTAATACAGTCTAAGGCCAAATTGTGTGGCTTCTATATGTTGATAAAATGTTTTTGGCATCCTTGTCCATTTAGTTTTGTAAGTGTACAAAAAATAGCCTGTTCATTGTTTGTTGAAGGCTACTTTTCTTTTTTTTTTTTTTTTGATGGTTTAGTTGAACTATGAGAAATTGTGATGTTTGGTTTTGTTTGTACAGCCAAGTTTCTACCCCCTTTTTTTGTGTGTGATGGTCTTCCTTAGTTCTTTGTGGTCTTTTAATTTGTTTTTGTTTGTTTTTGTTCTCATATATTCTTCCCTCAACCCCAGCTCTTTCTTCCTTTCTCTCTCTGATTGAGAGGCATTGAATTACGTTTTCAGTAGTACAGGCTTCTTGCCGATATGAAGGGAACTTTTTCAGAAAGAGACCTACTCTGGGTCATTTAATTTTGAATACAGTTTTCAATCGTTCAAGTTTTGGATGGTTTATATCTAATGTGTGTTTCATTTTTTTGGAAAGCTATATTTTGTATTTAGGAAATGGTATACTATTTTGCTATTTGTACTGAGTGAGTACATTGGCATAAATATAGAAATTTATATATATATATATATATATACATATATATAAACTATTCTTTTTTTGCCACACATTTTTGTGGTAAATTTGTGAGTTTGTCTGATGTTCTACCACAACGTGGCGTCTGCTAACAGTGTGGGGAGGGGGGGTTTGTTATGTCTTTATTGAGTATTTAAGTATCTTCTAAAACAAATGACTTGTTCATCTGTGGCCATTCCATCAGGCAGTACTTTGATGTTACTAGTGGGTTAAAGGCAGCTTACTGTGTGTTTGCTGGGTCTTTCCCTCGGCAAAATGTTAGGTAAGGAAACCCATATTGTTGTGTCAATTGGTGTTTCACAAGAATGAGCCATTCAGTCTTTGCTCACTATGTATTTAATATTTTATTATTGTTGTTATTGTTATTATTATTAATTGGCTTTCTGTATTCTATGCCTTTTATTTATAAAGACACTAAAAAAAAAGTTTGTAATTTTAATAACATTTACCCCATCTTATAATATCCAGAGCTACTTTATAGACTGTCTGAACCAAAAGCATTTTCCTCAGTATCTCTTCTTCCCCCATCCTATCAGAAAAAAAATTACCCAGTATAGTTCAGGGTACGTGAAAGATCAGCCACACAATCCAGTGCTTCAATTTAAAATAGAAAATTCTAACTTTAGAGGGGTAACTGTAACGTCAGAAAGCCAGTCTACCCAGCAGACATAAAAATAAGTAGAAATCAAATGCCGTAAGATTATTTCTGAGTTTCTGAAATTTTTTGTAAGAGATTCCATAGAAGACTCAGGAATTCTATTTGTTCATCAAATTCCACCTAGAATATTTATTAACACTGTACTATCAGTGAAGTGGTGGTAAGACTGGCTTGTGTTATGAAATGTTGATTGCTGATACCAAGTCAGCAGGGACCAATTTTCTGTTTTATATTATCTAAGTTTAGAACAGAACATATACCTGAACTATAGTGGTTTGGTTGGATGAAGGCAGAAAATCCAGTTTTTATTTAACTAATTTTGTGGTTATTTATACAAGGGCTGTGCTATGCTACCATATTCTTGTTCCGTAATGATGGGTTTCTTTTTTTTTTAACATTGTTAATTGTACCTTACCCTTAAAAAGGTCACTGTTAAGTATAGATTTCTGAATATATGATTTGATTACAAAAAGTATTTGTCTTCTTGAAGAGTTAGCTCAGTGGTTGATATTTGTGCTGTAAATGCAATTTCCAGATTACTGTTACAAGTTCATAGATACATATAGGAGAGACTAAGATTATATTATTAGATATATTTGATGGCAGAAGGACCCAAATATACTGTGAACCACATTTTACTTCCTTAAGTTGTTAAATTCAATTGGTCTTGCTTTCAGCAACTCAATGCTCGGAGCTTATCGATGTGCGTGTGTTTGTGTATGTATAAATGTGTGTGCTATTCCTTATTGTCATTCCATTTTCCACATGAACATGGGAAAAAATAACTACAAGTCAGATTTTGTTTTTGACTAGAAGTCATGTTACCTTTGTCATTAGAGTATCATGTTGTTACTTCCTTAGCCAATGCAAATCTGTTTCAGCCAGTCTCCCTAGAACAGATGTTTAAAGGGCTAGGTTTATTATAGACGCAGTATTAATATCAGATCTTCTTTCCTTCCTTTTTCCCTCCCTTCCTCCATTGCTCGTAATATTGTTTGTGACATAGTTGGAAAGTAATATTTAGGTTATTATGGTGACAATAGTGAGTTGGTTCCGTCTCATAGTGACCTTCTTAGAGTTTCCGAGGCTGTAAATCTTTACAGGAGCAGAAAACCTCATCTTTGTCCTACAGAATCACGGGTAGTTTCTAACTGCTGACCTTGATTGAGATTAGCAGCCCAACTCATGACCACTATGCTACCAGAGCTCTTTATGCCA